GTGGTGATGGAGATATGGAATTAGAGAGACTTTAATTTTCAATTATTATATTCCATATAATTTAAAGTTTAAATCAAGTGTGTTACTTTTTTATTAATCATAGATACATAGTAAATAGTCATGCATCTAGGATAGTCTGGGAAGATGCCATCTAGAGATTTAAAATTTGGGCTGAATTACTGAACCTCAGAATGTGGGCTGATAATTTTAGGTGCTATGCAATGGGCTTTTGGGAATGCAGAATAATGGTTAAAACACCATCTCTATTTTATCTATGTTAAGAACAATTGATATATTTATGATATTTAATCTACACTATGTGATTAGTATTTTTTATAAATATATTTTTCAGGGGTGTGTGTGGGTGTAAAGAGAATTTATTGGGATAGAGCTACTGGAACATTTACCACTTCATCATTCATTCAACATTTAAAAAGCATTTGATACTATATATACTTTCTGTAGGGAATTGTGCCTGAGAGCATGAAGACAAAGACAAATATAACACAGTCTATGTGTTCCGGAAGTTCACACCCTAAGAGTAGAGAGATGATAAACATGCACACGTGTTACAATGTGATGGGATAAGTGAAAAAAATGGGGAAAAACAAGGTATAGTGTTATTGCATAAGTTGTCATGAATAAGTCTAGTTGACAGAGTCAGAGGAGGGTTCTTGGAGGGATAACATCACAGTGACATCTGAGTTTGAAGGGTGGGCAGAAATTTGTGAGTTGAATAAAGAACTGCAGGGCATTCCAGATTAAGTGAAACATTATTTCTGAAATAATATCAAACCTCCAGTGTGAAACTATCAACTGGCATAATTCACACTTACTGTGTGCACCAGGCACTGTTGTCAGTGCATTATATGCATTAACTTAACCTCTCATCAAGTCCATGCACTACTATTTTCATCACCCTCATGTTACAAATTAGAAAAGTAAAGCACAGAGAGTTTAAGTAACTTGCTGAAAGTCACACAAATAATATGTAGCAGAGTCGGTTTTAACAGGATCAAGGAAAAGTGAAATTCAGGCAGTTTGGCCTCTGAGCTCATACTCTTTGCTGTCAGATCCTACTTTATAACATTTAAGAAGGCCTGTGGAAGTGAGGCTGTAAAATTCGGATTACAATGATCAAGGACTAGGTTCTATGCTAAAGAACTTGAGCTTTCCTCAGTCAGTCCAGAGGATCATTAGGGAGTTGGCAGATGCTGTCTAGAGATTTAAAAGTTGGGTGGAATTAGTGTGTGGGGTACTTAAACAAAAGGGGGAAGTAATTCAACATGTGTTTTGAAAAGAAGGCTGTGGCAGAGCTCTGGGTGACAGGTTTGAGAGGCAGTAAGACTTACTGCAAAGGCTAAGGAAAGAATTAATAGGAGTTTGATCTAAGACACAGTCAGTGGAAACAGAAAGAACAGGATGAATTGGAAAAATATTTAGGAGATGCAACTGGCAGCAATATAACCAGCAGTCGTTATATTGAGTTGTGAGGAATCAGATCAAGGAAAGAATTAAGAATGCACTTAGATTTCTAGTTTGGTTCAGAATTGTTCCACTGTCACATCATAAGATTAAAAAATTTAAATGAAAAAAAGTTATATTTCATTTTTAAAAGTATGAGAAAAATATATTCTATTAAATCAGCATCTGTAGGTGTTCCATTTGAGATGCATAGAAGAGGATAGCACAAATTTAAATACTTTTCCTTGATCCTTTCTATATACAACTAACATAATTCAACCTAGTTTAATGCTAGAAGTTAGAAAGACTTCAGTATTTTGTGAAGAACTTATCAAATGGAAGATAGCTTTAATGAATAAGACTGTGATTTAACATTTCATTTGTTTGGTCAGATTAAGCACTAAAAAAATCAATATATTATTATGCCATTGCAATGCATTGTTTGTAAGGTATAATTCAGTATCTTGAATTATACATACTTCAATCACTTAAATTAATTAACATAATAACTTTCCATAAACTCCAGCTAGAAGATAGATGAGGCTTGTCAAAGAAGTTCCGTAAATTCCCAAGGTAAAATAAATAGTTTATATTTCCTACTCCAGTATTAGGAGGAATAAATAATGATCTATAAAGGAAAAGGCCAAAAACAACTGGCCTACTCCTTTCCTCAAGTTTATATTTGTTTGTGTTAAGAGGATAACTTGACAACCACATCAATTAATCTTGAAGCTGCATCATGTTGGAAAAATATTTTTCTATTAAGACAAAGAGTCATCATGCACTTGAACCCTAATGCTGTCATATACTAACTGTTTGGTCACAAGCAAGTTGAATGACCTATGTTAACTCCAATTTCTTTATATATAAAATGGGAATAATAATAAATGCTTTGAAGAATTAGTTGGAGGAATTATCATGCTTACACTATGTTAATACACCTGGCACAGATGTTCACCTGATATTAGATAGCTGGGCAGCAGATAGTTTTGCTAAAATTATGTCAGAATGACCATCACATTCGTAGTTTCACTTCACTCTGGATGGTCCTACTAAATATTGTATTTTCCTAGTCCTCGCTCTGCTTATTAAACACAAGTATCAAGAAATTCCAAATGCTCCATCTTTGTGTACATGAAATGTTGATGTCCCTTCCTGTTATAGCTGAGAGAGGCAGAAGAATTTCTCCTGGAATATATTTTCACCTGGCTATGCTTCCTCATTGAAAGAAGTTGGGATTAAGTTAGAGATGGGCAGGTGCCTTGAAACCTGGTCAGTTGACCAAACCTTTAGACCAAAAGATCTATTTACGTATTTGGTTTGGCTGAAGGAATTTGCATATGGCAATTTCCCCTACTCATCCCCCCTCTTTTCTATTGTTTTGAGCAGAAGTGGGCAGGAAACATACTGAAGGGATCTAATAGTAGTTGACAATTATATGTCACATTCTGTGGTCAAACCAACCTTCTATATGAAAGATAAATATTAATGCTTCCCAATGCTTGGGTTCTTGGTTGTATAATTGCAATTATATGAGCCAGTTACTCATCTCTTACTTCCCAATGCTATTTCCTTGAGGTAAGAAACAAAAACCAAGTTTTGGATTAGCATCCAACAAAAGAAAAAAGATGCTAAAGAAAACAATCTGGAAGGAAGCTTCTTGGTGTCATCACCACTAGACTGTTAGGAAAACAAACAGTAGCGGGGGGGGGGGGGGGGGGTGTTGTTAATTATATTCCTGCTTTGTGCCTTTTGTCATTTCGGGGATAAAGAAGTGAATCTAAGCAGCTAAAACCCCATTTTCAACCTTACAAGTGATGCATTTAATTTGCCAGAATGTAAATCAGCAGACCTCTCAGCATGATCATGTAGTATCATCCTGTTCATAAAATATTCCTCCTTGTTTTGCCAAAGAAGCAGTGCACCTTCCCAAGGGCCAGCTCACCCAAATGGCAGCTACCGCCCCATCAGACTCAAACTGGTAAGTCACTCACCCAGACACAACCGCTGACATTCCCTGGGGAGGAAGCAAAGCTTAATTTAGATAACCGCTTTGCAAAGTGTATTAGCTGATCCAAACCAGACCGGGCTTCCTGAAGGCATGTTGTTCCTACATGTCAGAGTTGCTTCAATGTAGAAATTGCTTCTTTTTCTTTTGGAGGATTAAAATTCATTTGTGGAATAGGTAGGGATGATCAATAAGCTATTTTAAAATATGTAAAACAGCTTCATATTTGACTTTGACCTTCTACCCACTTAAATGGGCCGGGGTAGAAACAGTTTCTAGAGCAACATTTCTTTATTTCTCTAGAAAGTGCTTGGCAGAGTTCCTCTAATTCTGTCACATGAAAATAACAATAACAATAAACAGAATAGGTTAAGTATGCTATCTATCACAAATGGATACTTTTGGTTTCTAAAAAGACAAACTCTCTAAGTGGTTCATGGAAGAATATGCCTGGTTTAAGAATAGATATACCCCCCAGCACTCCATTGCACACAATGCATCCTCAACAGGAAGACACAGATAACTCCAGAGATAGGACAACAGTCAGGAGATATAGCACATCAGTAGAAAAACACCCACAGGAACCACACATGAGGAAATGTCATGACTGAAGGTAAAAAAAAAAGGGAGGGTGTAGAGCAGGAATAAAAGATATATGCTTTTGTCAGCAGAAACATACAACTGATTTTCTAATTAGAATAAAAATCCCCAAGTTTATTGTGAAATATCTTTGTTGCTAGAAAATGGAAATATTATAGTTCTGAAAAATATCATTAGCAATAAATAGTGTGACTTATGCATATAGAAAAATCTGAATTATCCATAGAAGTTAGCATTCAAGGAGGGGAAAGTTCCTTGGCAGTAGCCATGTGTATGCTTGGACTTGAGTCTGACTCCTTGAGAGGCGGGATGCATGACAGCCTCTTCCATCTGAGCGGCAGTGAATTTTCAAACACCACTTAGCTTTACTGATGGAACAGAGAGATAACTTTTGAAAACTAATTTTTTATTGCTTTTAAAGAGGAAGGGAGAGATAGAAACATCAATAATGAGAGAAAGTCATTGATGGGCTGCTTCCTGCATGCCCTGCCCTCTGGGGATTGAGCCCACAACCCAGGCATCCACCTGAATGGGAATCCAACCTTGACCTCTTGGTTCATAGGTAGAGGCTCAATCACTGAGCCATACCTGCCAAGCCAAGCAGAACAGAGAATAACTTTTAAGCAGTTTCCCTCAAAAAAGAATATTCCATGTTGAGAATTACAGAGTAGGAAATAATGGTAGGTGTTACATTAAGAATCATGATGGAAAGTAAAACTGCAAAATGGTCCAGAATCAGGGAATATGAGGAGGGAGGGAAAGAAAGAGACAAATACAGCTCTTCTTTGTTTTTATACTCAAAATTAATCTGTCCCTATGTTTACCTTCTCTTTTAATTTTTCCAAACCATTTCAAATTATTTTTTTTAAAAAGAGAGGTGGAGGATATAAGTGATGTTTAAATAATTTTGTAATACAGCAATCCTCACCTGTTTTTCTCCTGAATCTTTAGGATTTCATTTGTCTGTTGAAGAAGTTGCTTCTCTAGCTTGTAGGTTGATAATGAATTCTCCAGCAGTTGTATTTCAAGTCGGGATGTTTGATTTAGCATCTGAGGTTAAAAGATAAAAACATTTCAGAGTTCCATCACAAAGAGTAAAAACAATTATTTTGGGTTTTTACTTAGTTGTGTTTTCTTTTAAATTAAAATTTCTTCCAGAATATTTAATTGAATGGTCTACATCCTATAAAGTAACATTTTATATGTCTCTTAAACATTATATTCATTTGAGATTGAGTTGAAATTGAATGAAAAAACTGAGTTGTTAAACCTATTTTCATATTTAAAATTTTGTGTCCTGAATTCCTAGATATTTCACTGTTTTAGCTGCTTTATACATTGTATCAACAATATTTATAAGTGAAAAAAATGAGTTTTAGGACAAGGTCTTAGATATTGTGAATAATTAATAGGAATGTAATATATGCCTTCCTAGATCTATCACCTTACAGAAATATTTTATGACATAGTTTAGCCAGGTGCATGATCAGACATTTATTGAACACCTATGTTAGGTCATGTCAGCCCTTCCAGATTTCATATCATTTCCTGCACATGAGCACCTGTTGAAGGAGGAATTATCATCACCACTTTACAAAAGAGGGAATATATTCAACAAGAGGCTAAAATCCACACAGGAACCAAGGGAAGAACTGCATTTCAAACACAGATAGTGTGACTCCAATTTTAATGCTCTACACTAGAGGTGTCGAACTCAATCAGAGAAGGGGCCAAAATCTAAAATCCAGCCTAAATCGCGGGCCGAATGGTTTACTGAACAGTCATAAACTGTCATTGTGATGGAAACGCAGCGGAGTGCAGTGATGACAACGTGGTGCGGGCCACATTGCAAGGCCTGGCAGGACGGATTTGGCCCGCGGGCCTTGTGTTTGACACATGTGCTCTACACGGAAAACTAAGAAGAAGGAGAGTCAAACTACTCTTTCCTGGGGACTTGAAGAGATGAAGTGACCAAGAACTCGGATCCCAATGAAGATAGACTAGTTTTCTCTTCAACTGCACTACACTGGGTTCTCTAGAAACTGTAAATATTTAATTCATCTTCAATCATGGAGACTCACATTGCTAGATGAGTCTTAATATGAATGTGTGAGTCCTGAACCAAACACAGTTATCCACAATGTACTCCAGTCCTAGATATCTTCAAACTGTGCCAATGTCCTTGTCCCTCCCTATCTCTGTCCTGTCCCCACTCCCTTCTTCCTTAAGGGAGGTAAAAAGGTCAAGAAAGAGGTATAATTTATTTTTAAAGCTCCCATGTCACTTGAAAACTTTTGCAACCATCCAATTTTTTGCTACAGCTACTTATTCTATAGCAGATCTAACCCTATGCAAATGCACATAGAAAAACCTTTTAAAAATAGACTGATGTGACCAGGGTTAGGCTTGGGCTATAGGAAGTTGTGGAGGAAGGTGACAAATTTTTAGGGGAGCAGGATAGGGGATAGGGTGAGAGAGAGAGGCAATTACTTCAGTTGCAAGATATAAGGAGGTGTCAAAAAATCAGTAATCAAGATAAAAAATATTTTAATACAACGTTTGAAGGAGCAAAATTAAAACCAAAAACATCCATGTTGAACATAATATCACTTTAAAAATAAAAAGAATCTCTTCCTGAATATGCATGACTCAGTTTTGCATGACTTACTTTCACTCCCCTCACCCTAGTCCTAGTGCTGCTGGGCACGAAGATGCAGAGTTGGGGTGGGGTGGATAAAGAAGAGAATAGTGAGATGGAGTATTTGCACTTTAAAAAATTTTTTACGGGATATGATTCATTTACACAGTTTTATAAGTATGGGTCTGAAAGTTATTACAACCTATCAAAACTTATATTTGTGGAGTATTTTAGAGTTTTAAAAAACATTTTACTATTCTGAGTCATTTCATGTGAGAGAAAACAGAGGCAAGAAGACCTGGGATTTGAAGACAGAGTTAGTAGCAGTGCCGAGGGGGGCAGAATAGAGAATATAAAGACTGTGGATACACAAAATATAACTTTCAATTATTAAACATAGTTTTGTGCAGGCAAGTTTTTGTGTTTATTAACTAGAATGATTATCAAATAATTACAAGGGGGATGAGATAGCTGCATCTTTTCGTGACAGTGCTTGTCACAGAGAAAATAGTATTTACTGAATAAACAAAGAGGCCATTGTCTCGTTGAATCAAGTATATCATATGCCATGAAATAAAATATTTTCTTCCTTATTCATCACACACTCTGATAACACTTCCTGATATTCTGAAATAGCAAAATTTTTATTTTACAAAGGACGGAACTTTTTCTTCTCCATGTGTAATAAGAACATATGGGAACACTGCAAAAAGAATGGAATCATCAAAAATAAAAAATGAAGCTGCCTATGCTAAGTCTGGAGACTACTACAGCTTCTAAGTTTTCTCTATGTTGTCCTAACTCGAATCCATTTGCTACAAAAGTCAGATCATTTCATCTCCTATGATAAACCTGTGAATGGCTTCCCTCGGCAATTAGCATAAACCCCAAAGTTCTTAGCCTGTCCTACAAAGTCTTATATGACCAGGACCCTGCTCACATCTCAGATCACTCTCCTTCTTTCTGCCACCAAAACATGCCACATTAATTTCCACCTCAGGGCCTCTGAATCTGCAGTTTCCCCGGCCTGGAATGCCCAGATGCATGTCTACTTTCTTTTCATCATTCAGGTCTTGCTCAGGGAGGTCCTTCCTGGCCACTCTCTGTAAAGTAACATGTTCCCTTGCCCCCCATCATTCTCTATGAGGTCACCCTGTTCCTTTTGAAATCATCCTGTCCATTCACTCATTTGCTGTCTTTCTTCCCCATGAGGATGTCAGCTGTACAGAAGCAGGATGACTCTGCCTGGAGCCCTCCATACCCCAGAGTCCAGCATGGACTCAGAGCTGTTTGTTGAATAATATGCTAGACCATAGACAATGAGTTATTCAAGTTGGGTAATGGTAAGAGAGGGGTTAACAGGCCATGTGAATATCAAGCTAGACTTCAATGATAACAGCCCAAATCTAAGGCAGCATCTAAATGAGGAAGAAAGAGGGAAATCTCAGAAATCCAGGCTAAGTGTTGAGCACAAATACCATTCCCTTCTCTTCTTTCCCCATCACCTTGACCCAATAGCTGTGCTATTTCAGCTCTCCCTACTGATCTATTAAAATAGGCCTGAAGTTCAAAAGCGAGCAACTGAAAGTACTGCACAGGAAACTATGATAAATTGACCACTTTCTTGCCATGCATCCATGGAACTTGCTGCTTAGCAATAATCTAAGTGTTCCATTAAAATGACAAAAGTCATTTCCTTTTTAGCCTAAACACATTCCAAAAGCATAGCACTGGGGGGTGAGTTGGGAGGGAAGAAGAAGAAGCAGCAGCAGCAGAAAGAAAGAATGAAGGGAGAGAGAGAGGAAAGAAGGGAGAGAGGGAGGGAAGGAAGAAAGAAGGAAGGAAAGAGAAAAAAGACGAAGAGTATATCAAACAAGGCCTCACTAGACAATTTTAAAGCTTAAATATTCTAGAATATACAAGACAGTAAGGAAGATTTAACACTTAAAAGTAAAAATTTATGGAGTATAAAAAATAGTTCTTTCTTTTAAAAATAAACAGAAATTTAAAATAGAAATGTCTAGTTTCTCAATGAAGGTGAGCTAGAGATTTTCAGCCAGCTTCCCTTTAATACTTTAAAAAGTGCTTCTGATCTTTCTTAAAAAGAAAATCTCCATACAAAAAGTTCTTTCACCAGTATATTAACTTTAAAATCAGCCTTGCTTTATAGATTTGTTTCCTTTTAATTTAATCATTTTTTTCAAATGAAAAATATAACAGAAGTTATACTGAGTTAGGAGATCACCATTTTACTAAATTGATGAAATAATTTATTTGGTCAATGATGGGCAATGTGACAAAGTACCATCCTATAGGTCATTTATTCATTTCCAAGGAGAAAGTGGGCAAATGGGATGAAGAGATAAGGAGGCTTCTACTCTAACTAACCAAGTTAGAATAGCATCACTGAGAGCATAGCAAGCTAGCCTGTGTGCCTGCTGATGAGATGTAATAGGAAGTGATCAGCAGTTTCACAGGGCACGCCCACCACAATGTTCATCTGGGTCTAATTGAACCTGATTTCCAGTTAAAAGAAACCATGAGATGGTAGAGTACATTGAAAAGCATCTAAAAAATTTAGACAAATAGAGAATATGGGACAGTTTTAAAAAAACAACTTACCCAGTTTCTCAAAAGTCTCAAGAGAGAAAAAACACAGGAGATTGCTCCAAAAATAAAAGACTATTAAATCTTAAAAAATTAAATGCCTATAATTTTTGGTAGAATAACAGGAAATTTGAGTATGAAAATTAGCCAATCTTACAGAATAATTGTTAATCTTACCTATAATAATATAATAACATATAATTAATTCTATATAATTATTTTATATAATATTTTATATTTATATTATCAATAAATATATATTGTGTTTATAATCTATAATAATAAAAGCATAATATGATAATTAAACTGGGCAGCCAAAAGACCTTCTGGATATCATTCTGGACATCCTTCTGGACGAAGCTGCGGTGGCAGGGGCCAAGGCAGGGGTAGTTAGGGGCGATCAGGCAGTCAGGGAAGCAGTTAGGGGCAATCAGGCAGACAGGTATAGTGTTTAGGGGTTATCAAGCAAGTGGTTAGGGACTATTGGGCAGGCAGGCAGAGTGGTTAGGGGTGATTAGGCAGGCAGACAGAATGGTTATGGGGAATCTGGTAGGTAGGCAGGCAGGCAGAGGGGGTTGGGGTGATGAGGCAGTCAGGCAGGTGAGAAGTTAAGAGCCAGCAGTCCCAGATAGCGAGAGGGATGTCTGACTGCCAGTTTAGGCCCTACAGGATTGGGCCTAAACTGGCAGTCAGACATCCCCTGAGGGGTCTCGGATTGTGAGAGGGTGCAGGCTGGGCTGAGGAACCCCCCCTCCCCTGACCCACGTGCATAAATTTCATGCACTGGGCCTCCAGTAAAATAATA